CACACACACACACACACACACACACACACACACACACACACACACACCAAGTTTTGTGGAAATCTGGACCCCTGAGCGAGGCGACGCTTTGTAGACAGACACTTTCTCTCTCTCTCTCTCTCTCTCCATCCCTCTTCCTTGCACTTGGCTTTTGGATCAGTTTGAGCCCCTAAGGGTGTGGACGTTGTGGTACTAGACAATGACATATAGACTGCTATATTTCTTCATCAGAGGGAAAGACTGTGACTTGGCTGCATTCATCAGCACCAAGCAATTTTTGGATGCTTTAACTGGCAGTTTGAAAAGAAGCGTTTGTGTTCGACAGCTCTTTAGTTAAAAACAGAAACATCAGAGCTGCGCTCTCAACCAAAATTGAAAGGAACATGTTTCTTTCTTTTCAGCTAAGTTTGTTTCCATGTTTCTCCTCAGACAACACCCTCATTATAATGCAGAGATGAGAATGGAGATTAAATGGGGCTTAAGATTCAGGTTGATCCAGGCCATCTTAAACATCCACCAGATAGCTGCTTAGCAATTTAGGGCACTGCTGTTTAATTATGCGGCTGAACAGAGACGGTGAGTTTTAAAACATTTAGAAAGTGGTGGGATTATGTTCATGCGCAGGCAGCCCTGAGGCCCTGAACGTTGGAGCTCATTTAAGGACTAATTTGTAGATAAAACACGATGTTGACACCGATCATCAGTGTATATAGCATCTAAACAATTTCACTGACAGGAAACAAAAAACAAACATGTTTAAAATCTCATAAAAATGGTTTCTCCAATGCTAACTCAATTATACGCAATGTATGACTTTATGATTAGATAAGTGGTGTAAAACTAAGTCAACCCCTTTGAAATGGATGTTCTTATCATCAAAATCTTACAGTAATATTGACCAGGGATTTTAAGAAAATCGAATTGTATTGTTATGGTCTGTTGAGTCATGTTTAGATATTATCTACAGATGTTAACAAAAATCAATTAAAAGCACAAATTGAATCGAAAGATGACGTAGCCTACTTAACTGACTGCACCTAATTATTTTTTATAGTTTGTTTATTTGTTTTTCTCAAAGTACAGCTTGTAAAAGCATTTCTTATCACTCAAAATTAATACTATCAACAGGGCAGGGCAGATTGGAAGATGTATGTGTTCAAAAGTAATTTAACACGGACCATATCCGTGGTGAACTTTGTGATAAATGTAAGCCAATGTGAGGAGGGAGAGGATGCCACGTTCTGAAATGAAATGTAGTCATATATCAAGCTGTCTCTCTGAATTTGTCACTGTTTAGTACATTTGCTTTGTGTTACTGGGGAATCTGGAGGCAGCTGTCTCCATGGCAACTAATCGTTGTCCTAATTGGATGCAACAACTTTACTCTGAGACCGAAGAATCAACCTGCAGCCACTAATGCAATTTGTGTGCTCTTTATTCTGAGCTTTTGAAAATTGCTTGCACACAAAGAAAATCACAGCAAACGTTGCACTGCACTAACACAAATATGACATCTGGAAACCATTAATTGTGCTTCGCTAACACCATTTTATTTGCATTTGTTTTAAGAATGTGAAGACATAAGAAGTATTTTGTATTGACAAACTGACTGATCTATATATTTAGACACAGAGAGAGAGAAATTGAAAGAGGGTATTGTTTTTTTCCCTCAAATTTATTTCTTCTGGGATTTAGGAGTTAATCAATTTTTATGCTTTAGGTTAAAAGATATGAACCTGTCTTGTAAACACAATACCGTACATGTTCCAATGTCCATACACTGCGGATAACAATACTAGCTTACTGTATCAACTGTACCAATGTAGTCTTATTATGACTTCTGCAATGTTCAAAGAAGGACTTTTCGAGACGGTTATTTTTAATAAATGGTTGATGTAGAAATACTGTATTTAGACATGTTGTAAACCACATACACAATGCTCCTTTTGTAAAGGCATATGCTGCTAATAAAATTTCTGTAATAATGCATTTTTGGTTTTCTCTGTTGACAAAAGAGGCCCAGTGTCAAGTGAAGAATTATCCCTAAAAGCAATGTTGGCTGGCTTTGTTCACAGTGCTTGGTCATGTGAGAAGGTATTTTAGCTCCATCTTTTCTCTGCCTGAATCACCTGGCGTTGATCCTGGTGAAGCCAACCCACTGAAAGACAGCACCAGTTGCTGCTTAGCCATCAGGTGAGGTTGATGCTAAACTTAGATGTTACCATCTGTCATTTTGACACAGGCACAAGTTGTTTAGAAACCACCTGGATTTAATCCTCTGTGGACCCCTGCTCCCCTCCATCTCTCTCTGTCTTCATATTTGTTTTGCTGAACCAACAGACTGTGAAAGAAGTTAAACATACAATGTTAACATGATGCAAGATGGTCTTAACCACTCAAAGAAGTTGAATGCTGAATGTTCTTATGTGCAAACATCCGCATGCTAACATGTTTACCAAGGTGTAATGTTTACACTCACCATCTTAGTTGGTAACACACAAAAGCACAGATGAGGTTGATCATCGTCACAGGTATGTGTGCATATTTTGTGGTCATATTTTAACTTGATGGTGGCAGGAGATAAAAAGTTAAGGGATCACCAACATGAATGTTTCTACCAAATTTTCTGGGAATCCATAGATGTTGAGAGGTTTCACAGAATATATTTTGACCAGTTAATGGCGACAGAGAGAAAGTCAGTGGATCACCAAAGTCATTAGGCTTCAGTAGACACCATGGATAAGCTATCTGTGGCAAATTGTATGGCAATCCATTTCATAGTCACAAAGAAATGTCAACCTGCTGGGAGGAAGTGTCAGGGGATCATTAGGATTCATGCTCTAGGTCTAGGATATGAATGTTTGTATCAAATATTATGGCAATCAACCAGTACTGTAGTTTTGAGATACTTCAGTCTGGACCAAAGTGTTTGAAAGAACAACCAACCAATAGCCCATGTTGATGGTATGACTAAAAACCTCAATATGGTAAAACAATGTACGATGGTTTAGTCTACTTACAAAAAATAAAATCTTTTTTACTTTTTGATACATTTGTCCAGTAAGTTTGAGATCCACTTCAAGCCAAAACTACTGGATGAATGATAAAGTAGTCTAACTTTTCTATCATGACTTTACAACTTCCTGAGATCAATAGCATCACAAGTGATTTTATAACTGTAACAGATATATACTAAGTGGCTTACTTCCAGAAGTTGGTTGTTGCAAATCCCTGTCATCCTGGGGAGAAGTGATGTCAAAATTATTCGGAGATCACATTCATAATTCCATGAAACTGCTCTGCTCTTCCTTTATGCCACCTTACAGACTGAATCAGCCCTTTTGATACTGAAAAAGCAGCTTGCTTTCATACTATGTCGATCAGCTTCCTTTAATATTTGCCACGGGCCTCTCTGATCCCCCTCAGCAGAGGAGATAGAGCTGTAAGTTAAGTCGGCTGCACACGATCCTTGAACAACATTCACATTGCTTCAGTTGCTTGCTGTGCTTTTCCTCTTTATCCGATCAAGCGACTCGATTGCTGGGAGTCCCAGAGGGCGTTGCCACAGCCGGCAACTCTGAGAGGCAAGGGAGTCACAAAAGATCCCTCAGAAAGAGCAGGGTAAAATGGATAACCATTGACCTTGCCTGGTCTAATCTATGCTAATGCATAGTAATCATTTGACTTTCAGGTGATGGTTTGTGAGAAATCCACAGTGGCTAAGACTTAATTTATATGCTCTATGCAAGAAGAAGCTGGCCTTGCCTGTGAATAATAGATAATGTCGTTAATTTAAAGCCAGGATGAGATTAATCAGTCTGAAAGTATGAGGAGATGAGAGGAGATGAGAGGAGAGGAGAGAGTGTGAAACAGGAGAACGTAAGGAGAGGTTGTCTTCTCCTCCTCTGTTGCCCTCGAGTCTCACAGGATGTAGCACTTCAGCCCAACTCCTGTCCAGTCGAGAGTGACAGCTTGGTGATGAGGTGCGGGGTATGCTAATATATGCCAAGCCGCTTAGACACATCTTGTCAAACTGTCACTTCAGAGACATATGAGAACGTACATTATGGGTCTATACTTATCCAGCGCCTTAACAAAGGCTATACAATATATACATCTATACAATGTGTCTCGTAAATATGCCCATAACAGCAAAGTGGTATATGTGACAAAGCATTGCAACAGCAAGAGGAGAGAGGATGTCTATGACATCATGCAAGTGTCTGTGCTCACAGTATATGAGGGTGTACACAACAGTATTGGTTATTTTTGTTCTCGTTAGTTCTTATTTCACAATAATGTCTCACTGATTATAATATAATTGGACCAGCTTTTGATCACTCAACTAGCTCATGAGAGGACATGCACCTAATCATCATTAATTTAGAACTCAAAAAACAAGACCTTAAAGCAGTGCCATGCCTGGATGGTTGGCTGGATTTGTATAAATAATTCATTAATGAAAGTTGTAGCATTTAGGAGGATATATTGGCAGAAATGTAATGTATATAATGTTAATAACTATGTTTTCTTAAGTGTATAATCTCCTGTAAATAAGATTTGTCATGTTTTTGTAACCTAAGAATGAGACGGTTATATCAACATACGGAGTGGGTGCCATGTTTCTACAGTGGCCCAGAAAGGACAAACCAAACACTGGCTCTAGATAGGTCCATTCACATTTTCATGTTTTTGCGTTGGCCACGGTAGTTCTCCTGCAGTAAAACACAGTTGTAATAATACAAAATGTGTCTTCATTGGAGACATCATAATGGTCGACAAATACTGTATTCTAATTTTAAAAAAGTCTTTATGTGCTTACAACAACATTAGAGTGTGTTATAAACTATTTCTAAATGTTTATAGGGTTATCACTACTCGATATGGGGGTTACAGTTTTTATTTTAATAAAATGGGACTGCAGAAAATATGATTAATACAAGTGTTGCTGGAGTTCTGACCTGTCAAGATTATTTCCCTTCTC